ATAGATAGATAGATAGATAGATAGATAGATAGATAGATAGATAGATAGATAGATAGATAGATAGATAGATAGATGATAGATAGATTATCCTCCCCTTTACATAACGGGTCTACAAATAGTTATAAGCTTCCTCATCCCTATTTAACCAGAATACTATATTAAATGAACAAACATTTCAGGTGAGGGGATCTCTTATCTGATAATCATATTGACCCAACATCCAATCATAATATATATGTAACAGGTAATATAAAAAAGACCCCAGTCCACAGATTACACCACACATTGCACTAATCTTCAAATCCCCCCCACTGCGTTCGCCATCTTGTATTGGGCTTTTCCAAAACTGATGGTTCTATGGATCATGATGAGGACGTGATCCTTCAGGCCCACCTCCACACTTCTTCATGCCTTGAATGTCTCTCATGGTCACTATATGTCAGCGTAAACCTTGTGCCTTGATTTCCCAGGCGATGAAGACGACGAAGCCGCAATGATCACGGGTTTTTCAGATGACGTCCCCATGGTAATAGCGTGAAGAACGTTTCTGGTTTCCGGAAAGCGCAAAAATAATAATAATAATAATGGTGTAAATATTTTATTTGATAAAGAAAAAAAAAGTCAACTGTTTATTTTAAAAAAGAAAACTGAAAAGCACTTTTGAGTTGCAATACATTATTTTTGTATCGGCTGAAAAAGAAAACAAAACAAACAAAAAAAATGACGATTACACTTTGTAGCAACACGGCTGTGAAATTTCAAATCAGGTGGATGTAGCGAGTATTTCTGTGGTTGGGTTTTTTCCCCTTCTTCTCCCTTTCCAAACCTTCAATTTAGTCTGAATGCTTCCTGAGCACAGCTTTGATTCTGAGGTCTTTCCCATTGGCAATGACTTTGATCCTCTGAGAACTTGTGCGTACCATGTTTTTCGCTCCATAAGACACACTTTTTTGTCTCCCAAAAGTGGGTGGAAATACCTGTGCGTCCATCGGAGCGAAGCCCCGCCCACTCACCGGCCCCCATCTGCCGGCTCTTTTTGGCTTTGCGCACCCTGTTTTTGGCCTCGACGTGTCCCACATTTGGCCTCGACGCGTCCCACTTTTGGCCTCTGTGTGCCCCATTTTTTACCTCTGCACACCCCGTTTTTGGCCTCGACACATGCCATTTCTGGCCTCTGTGTGCCAC